TTTTTATGTAGCGCAAACGTCTACTGGCTATGGGTGACTATCTTTCATCCTTTTTACATAAAACGAGCAAGGTATTTGCTTGAATCTACATTACTACGTACGAGTGTAGTCATATACGCAACGCATGTTGTATAATCATTGAGATATTTATCAATCTCATTAAGAGTACTTAGTTTCCGAGAAACATACAATGTAGGAGATGTTGAAGAACATTGAACTCAAGTGCACTTGTTTTAATTAATCACTACATGAGGTACGACGAGGTACGACACGTGGGAAAAATCTAATTATTCAACGTGGTAAAAAATATTTGTATATATATATTTTTTTTCCTCCAAGGCGGAGAGGCCAAAATTCAAAGGTTCTCACCAAAAAGTACCGCATTTTCACATTCTCCGACAAGGACCACCCCGCTGCTATACGTTTTTTTTATAACGCAAGTAAAAAATCTTTTTACAGACGACGGCGCCTTTAAGAGGCACACCGCCGAACGGACCTCATACCTGACTCCTGCAAGTCTTGCGGACCCCCCAGTGACTGACCACTGAGGACCCCGCAACTCTTACGGGCGCTTTACAGCATAATATCCGCTAAAGAAGTCCTGCGAATACCTTCTACCCTGCTTAATGCGAAGCCGCGGGGTCCACGTTAGGGATTCTACCACGACGTCCCGCTGCTGTACTAGGTACCTGACTATTTACTTTGCAGCAAACTGTGTGAGGAGCATATATTTTGATTTTATTTAATTTACTAATTTTAGGAGGGGAGGGGGGGTTAAACCTGGTGAACAAACGATAAGTATTGTTTTTTTTTACATCGAGACAAACATTTACAACAACAACTTCTTATAAGCTGCGTATGTACCGGGCCTAAGGAGCATATAGTGCGATTCAAATAAGCATAGGAAAGCCAATGACCTCCATCTGTCAAATGTCGCTTGAAAAGTACGGTTTGCAAAAAAATCTTGGAATCCTTTTTTAGCACTGTGCCAATTCTAGAATAAAAACCAATCAATTTACAAAAACAAATAATAACAAATATTGATAATTAATATTGGTTGACATATTTTTTCATTTATTAAGCTTTGGCTAAGAATGGTTGATAACCTAAATCACCAACCAAATGTCACTTTAGTTTGCGTTCATAAACTCGATTTAAAACTTTCGTTTACATAAAGGATGCATGCTCGTATGTGACCTAGTAATAGTGCATGATTATGCATAACTACTCAGGCGGCAAAGCAGAGATGAGCGGAATTGAAAAGCTAGATTCTGATTAATGTTATTTCCCACAGTCTTAATAAGTAAATATTATTAAAAATCAGTTGTTTTTTTTTCTTAATCTTAGTAAATAAGTTTTATTAAATTAATTTCTGAGTGGCGTGCATTTGGAGAGGTCTATGTCCAGCAGTGGACTATGATAGGCTGTTGATGATGATGATGATGAAATTAAAACTTTTTTTGCTCACTCTACCTATTTGGTTTGAATTGACAGCTATGACATCACAATATGGCGCCCAGTCGGTCCTCTTCTTAGTAGAATCGCATTATACTGATTTAACTTTTTTTTATTGGTATTTTATGGGCACTATTTGCAACAGGTTCTGGATAAATCTCGACATCGTCATTACTTATACTTTCAAATACAAGTATCTCAAAGAGTACTAATAAAATGTCGCTCTCTACTTTCTAATGGATTTTTGCCATCTATCAATTAATGCACTTAAACTTATGAAAAAACTGATACTAAAATTTGCCACCGGAATTATGCAAAAAGTGAACTTGCGACACTGTGCGTTACTTGTGAAATAAAAAAAAACAAAAATAAAAGTTATAAAGGAATAATAACTTCGAAGTCAGCTTTAAAAAACCAATGAAGAAGCAGTTGATTTCAAAAAATTAAAGAAAAAAACCTTTTTTTTCTTAATTGATGCAATCAGAATCAAGATCATTCAGCCTATTTGTTACACATAAAATCTCCTCAGACGCTCCCGAAGCGATAACCTATTAGATATGTAGGCTATGTATAAAAAAAAACGCGATAAACTTCAATTGACCCAAAGAACTGATATCAGAGACGCGTTCTAGAGATGCTTGTTAATTTACGTACTTGTAGTATCTGATGAAGAAGTTTATGATTTAATGGTATGTACTCACATAATCATGAGGAGCTCGATGGCGCGGGTGGTTAGCGCGTTCGGCTGCGATCGTTGAAGTTAAGCAATTTTCGCAGTGGTCGGTCATTGGATGGGTGACCAAAAAATTTCTATCTCGAGTTCCTTCGTGCTTCGGAAGGCACGTTAAGCCGTTGGTCCCGGCTGCATCTATCTGCAGTCGTTAGCACCCGCCAATCCACTCTGGGCCCGCGTGGTGGGTCGTAGCCCATTCTCCCTATTCCATCCATAGGGAAGGCCTGTGCCCCAGCAGTTAATATTAATAGGCTGATGATGACTAACATAAGATATTACTCGAATAGTTTTACTTTAAAGCGACTAAAAATCAACTTGGATGAAAAAAAAATGAATTCCAGCGCACGCTTGTTATTCCTACTTCTTGCAAACTCGAATCCTAAGAATTAGTTTATTAATTGTAGCCGACTCGAGAGGTCCCGGGTTCGAAGCCCGATGGGGGCAGATGTTTGTGTGATGAATACGAGCATTTGTCCTTGCGATTTCTACTCGCCTTAGAGTAAAACTATAGAGTTATGCCGAATATGAGTACGGACCATAAGAAGTAGAAAAAGTTGGGCAATTCTATTCTTTGTCTTAAAAAAAAAAGAATATTATGTCAGCACATGCTTGCTGTTCCTTGATTTTACAAACTTCTTATGGACTTTTTGGCGGGATCGGGAAGCGTCACTTTAGCAGTTCTGTTATTCTTGTTAAAAATTGTGTTGTGGCGGATGTTAGTGTCTAATAATGGTGGATTATTAACCACTAAGTGTTCGGGAACATGCACAAGTGTTGGCAAGTGAAGCAAAATAGTGGAAAGTGTCTTTCGACGTTCCCTCAAGAAGTCCATGGGAAGGTTCCAGTAAATCCCCACACTCTTACTGAAACATGAGGAAAGGGGGATTGACTTGACTGCCACTTACTTTGACTTGACTTATTACTTTGACCACGAGTGCTATCTTGACATTGGCTAAATGCACAACACGTACGAAGCCATTTAGAAAAAAGAAAAAAACTTCATAAGCGTTATTTTCTTTTTATGTGATGAATGTGTTACTAAATATATAGATATTTCTTTATTTCTTATATGAACAAAACCAGGCTTTTGTACTAACTTGGAGGTTACGTCACCCGGGGCTATTGCGGCCAGGGGGCAAATGTATCTTTTTCATATATCTCGTTACTGTTTCGTGTTATTGGCTAAATCTAGTGTTTTATATAGATCAATAAAAGTTACGCTACAGAGCCACACACGAATTTATTTAATAAACGAAACAGTAACGAGTTATTTGAAACAGCTACATTTGCCCCCTGGCTACAAATTCAAATTCAATATCGTTTTTTCAGTCTAGGCTGTTACAAGCACTTGTGAATATCGAAAAGCTACGCATCGGTTCGCCAATCTACGGCGCTGCGGCGGGATACCTTGTACTGAGAAGAACAGGCAAGAAATTCAGCAAGGGCGGTTTTTTTCTCCCTGTATTATATACAGAGTCGTCGAATTGAAAAATTACTTCAATATGAGATAATTCATGAAGCCAATTTTTTTTACAAATGTAAATGATTTAAAAAATATGACTATACAATACAACCTATTATGTAAATAGATTGTTCACTAAGGGAATTGAGACTCGAAGTTTTTTCGCGTATTTTTATGAACACTTTGTGTTATCCCCGACATATTATGTAATGGAGCAACTTTGCAGAACAATACTTGGTCATCACTCTCAATCCCTCGGCTCTGTTAAATCTCCAACCAACACGTTTCTGCCTTAGATATAACATCAACGCCGTCGAGGATGTATTCTCCAAATTTCTGTGATCTTGATCCTTTTTTAAAGAAAAAAATTTAAAAAATATCAACAAAAAAGCTTTAAAATGAGTCTATGGTTCGCGCCAACTTTTTTTATTTTGCGCAGGAAACGCGCAGCTGTCAACGCGGCCACGGTACAACTGTCCCTTTTCAGTCCCAAAAGTACTCCTGGACACAGCGTGGTTTCTTTCTCTGTGGCCCTAACCACCGGTGCCTTAGACCTAGCCCCCGCCCCGTTGCTGGTGGCTTTCTAGGTTAGGTTTTTTATACTATATTTATTTTTGTATTTACGTTTTTGTATTTTACTTTTATATCTATTTTTATATTTATAAAAAACCTAACTGAAATAAAATAAATGAGAGAAATAATAATAATAAATATTTCTAACACTCACACCAATTAGTCTAGCCTCAAAGTAAGCACTGTGTTATGGGATACTAGGGTAATGGATAGTATACATATATAAGTATATTTATATAGAAATACATATTAAACATCCATGACTTGAGTACATATGCTCGTATTCATCACACAAACATCGGCAACAATTATTAATAAACTAATTCTTAGGATTCGAGTTTGCAAGAAGTAGGAATAACAAGCGCTGACATGGAATTAATTTTTTTTAAGACAAAGACATGAACCTTGAAGTCATGTCTTCGTTAAGGTGAACACTCAGGTGAAGAATGTGGACGGTTGGGAATATTTATTCCTGACTACCTAGGTAGACAGCTCAGGTTGTTAGGAATACCCCTATGATACCATTCTATGGATGATACTTGGCTCATACTTTCTTCAAAAACCTCAATCAATAAAAAAATTGTGTCAATATATCTTCAACTTCCTAATACGCATGTTTGCACGTTCCAACATAGCCAGATAGCCCTAAAAAGACAAAGGCGATCTCACACAAAGCGGAGCGACGTGATAACACAGCACAACACTAGACAACATAACATTATAATCATCTAAGTTATCTCGTCTCCAACATGAATGTCCATTCCGCTCAGTCGTACCGTGGCCGCGTTGACAGCTGCGCGTTTCCCGCGCAAAATAAAAAAGTTGGCGCGAACCATAGACTCCTTTTGAAGTTTTTTTTCTATAACTTTTTCATTGTTTTCTTTAAAAATGGATCACGATCACAGAAATTTGGAGAATACATCCTCGACGGCGTTGATGTTGCCAAAAGGGGATGGGGAGGAAAAAGTTATTATAACACCTAATGGTGTTGGGAAGATATTGATAAGGGAGGACACTATACTGGCTAACCTGCAGGGCTGTGCTGGTTGTGGCAAAGCAAGGTTTACTTGCTCAGGGGTAAAGAATCAGTGGTCAGTGCTCTGTTGGGGGAGGCAGTCAGATAAGAAATATTACACATGTGAGTATTCTATTTATATATGTATTTTTTCTATAATTTTAATAACGGTTGCCTGCCTGACGTGTCTGCATTGTTTAATTTGTTTTCGTGCAAAATTTAATTGCTCCAATTTACCCCGTTCGAGATACATTTTCACGGGAATAGGTAACCTGTAACCGTCTCCAGGTTCCCTTGTGTCTCTCTACAAAAATCTAGCCTATTCGATTCAGTGAAAAATATTCGAGTTTAGCTTTGAGAACATAATAGCAAAGAGACTTTCGCATTTTTTACATTAATAATTATTAAGATCCCCACTTCTGGGTAAAAGGCTATCCTTAAACACCGAATCACATACGAAGAAAAAGCCGTGAATCTCCACGAGGACCCAATGCAGATTTTGTTTACACGCCTACAAATTCAAATACATCACGTAAAGAAAACGGCTCGTATTTCGCGCAATGTGTGCTTGATTCTAATGTCAGATTGTTTGAAATCGCCGAGTGTATCTACCATATTTAGGAGATATTTTTCGCCACTTCCGTGCAGTTAATATTGTATGAAGTGTGTATAAAATCAAAGGCAAAGGCAAGGCAAGAATGATGAGAATGCAGCCGGGACCAACGGCTTAACGTGCCGAGGAGCCGATAACAAATTTTTAGTCACCCGTCTGATAACAGCCAATGCAAAAGTTGTTTATCTTCTATAATCACTAGCAAATGCATCGTCGAGTTATACATCTAGTATATTGTTTATTTTAGACAAATTAAAGGCTAATATATTAAGACAGATGACATTTATGCATGATTTGAGAAATAAAGTTTTTTTATTCAAATTAGGTTCTTCATATAGATAATTGTTTATTAATAAAATTCTCTTGTAATTTTTATCTATAAGACTCTACTATATTGCGATACCCTGACAGGGTTTTTGTTAGGTACTTTGTGCATTTTGTAACTTGTTACTATGTAACCATCTATGTTACCACATGAGTTCAATAAATTGAATTGAATTGAAAATTTTTTATGCATTTAACTGACAGATGTTTAAATCTAAAGAGGATTCGAGTCCCATCTGCTGCCTACGTCTACGTGTGTTCGATAGCTTAGTGTCTTCTTTAAGTGGATTTCTCAATAGAAATCGGATATTCAGATTGTAGAATATTATTCATAATAAAATACAGATCTTATCGAAATTATGTGCGTACGTTGTCTTTTTGAATTCGAATTGCAAGAGGGAGAGTGAATGTATATTTATATATTTTTTTTTAACTAATAAGTGAGGGATGAATGTATGAACGGACGATGATGATGGACCGATTGCAGCTTCTCTCGTCGAAGGATAGATGGCGTTAACAACATGTTTATTTAAGAAAAAAAAATCTTTAAATTAATGCCTGTTCCTATATCGGTAATGAGTGTATTTTATACCAGTGGCCCGCCCTCGCTTCACTTTGATTTAGTCTCTACTTTTTGTTCTAATACTTATCAAAAGAGTTTTAGAAACATGAACTTTTTTTTCTAAATGGCTTTGCATGGCTTGTGCAATTAGCCAGTGTCAAGTGTTAAAATGTTTACAAATACTATAGCACTGTGGTCAAAGTAATAAATCAAGTCAAAGTAAGTGGCAGTCAAGTCAATCCCCCTTTCCCTATGTTTCAGTAAAAGTGTGGGGATTTACTGGAACCTCCCCGTGGACTTCTTGAGGGAACGCCGAAAGACACTTTCCGCTATATTGTTTCACTTGCCAACACTTGTCTATTTGAACTTTTGACCGACTTTTAATATTTTTGTGTAAGTACCATTATAAAAATACGAGAACGACAAGCCTTCTCTTCTTCCTTATAATTAATATGGTAACAATCGGTTCAAACTTTACCTCTTTATAGGCAAATGTATTGGTAGGTATAAATAGACTAGTAGTTTACCAATAGTCGAAATTCTTTAGAAGTAAATAGAAAGGACTTTTTTAGCTCTTCTATCAAAAAGTTATTGCATGGGTGTAGAACAATACAAAAACGACGGGTTGCACTCCGGGAGTGCCGGCAGGAGTGTAAACTTGAATATTAACGTTGTGCATTTATGATATTTTGGAATGGTTAGGGAATAATATTACACGAATTGCTTTAATTATCAGTATAAAAGTACTATCATTTATGTGGTAGAATACGATATTTATTTATTGCGCTATCGTACACAAACATGACATATTTATATTACACTAGCAAACCCCGCGAACTCCGTTTCGCCACCAGATGGCTTCGTTTTATGTAACATTTCGTTTGGTGATTAAAAGAAGTTTTTTTTAAGTTTTTTCTGAATTTTCTTTGCTATAAACCTCACGGAGCCCGAGACCTTTCCAACGAATACAAAACCGTGGAAATCGGTTCGTGCGTTCTGGAGTTATAGCGTCAGGAAGGAAAACCCGACTTATTTTTATATAGTAGATTAAAAAGTTTATCTCTCAGAAAAATCAACTTACATGAATCACATTTAAGCGCACCTAGCGACATCTATTGTAAAAAACAATGCATTTTCTTCGCAATAAAGCTGCCACCTGGAGCTCTACTCTTTTTCTCCGAAACGAAATTTCGGTAACGAACGAATTTTAAACGAAATTTCGCCAATAACTCTACTCTATTTCATTTTCGAACACGCACATAAAGTTCGGAATCACAGACAATTTTCGTGAACGAATGGAATGAGTCATGTTTGTGAGTTCTTTTATCTCCACTTTTTAGATTATCTGTTTTACTTCGAAAACAATATTATCTTACTTCAAAATTTTTGATGACATGAAAATAACCTTCTTTGACAGTGTTAGCCGACTAATTTGTAGAGTTGATGCACTTCATTTTATGTCAACCTAAATATGTCGTTTAATACTTTGAAGTATTGGAAATACAATAATTAATTAAAATTTGATGTATTTGTTAATTTGACATGTTAAAAAATGTTCCTCATGCTAAGCAGCCTTGATTAAAGATACTCTAGCAGTCATTTAAGGCTTAATTTAAACAAAAGTTACAAAACGAAAATGAAAAGGTAACACTTTTCATTTCGTCAATTTGAGGTTAAAATTTCGAACAATTATCTGTCAAATTCAATTTTTAGTTCAAAAGTAGTGAATTAGAGTAGGCTTAGAGAATTTAAATGTCAAACTATTTTCGGACGAACGAATTTTCGAAATGAAATAGAAACAGAGTAAGGAACGTGCGAAATTTAGATCAAAATTTCGTTTTTCGTTGAAATAGAGTAGGCCTCCTGGACGTCCTAATTACAGACTTATTATTATAATGCGATAAAATAAAATATTACTATGTTTCGTCCAATATATTGCAAGTCAACGAACTTTCCAATTTTATTGTTTTCGTCTTACGAATTTTCGATTAGGTCACGTGTCCGGACGCTACGCGAAAAATGTGTACAACGCCGTTAAAGAAGTTTTCACTTCAAATAAATGATGACGAATTGAGAACCTCGCCCTTTTCGAATCGGTTAAAAAGGGTAACGGAGATTTGTCGCTCTCGTATTTTTATAATGATACTAACACTTTTCATCCAAAGTGACTTTGTGTAGCGTGCTGTAACAACTAACGATATAATATTCATCATCATCACCAGCCTATTAATATCCCCACTGCTGGGGCACAGGCCTTCTCTATGGATGGAATAGGGAGAATGGGCTATGACCCACCTCGAGGGCCCAGAGCGGATTGGCAGGTGCGAACGACTGCAGATAGATGCAACCGGGGCCTCCCGAAGCACGGAGGAACTTGAGATAGAAGATTTTTGGTCACCCATCCAATGACCGACCATTGCGAAAGTTACTTAACTTAACGATCGCAGCCGTACGCGCTAGCCACCTGCGCCATCGAGCTTCTCCAAATTGGAACCCGGGACCTCTGAATAGGCGACACTGGAGCCACGGAAGTCGTCAAGGTCATTTGAATGTTATATTCGAGTAAGATTATCTTCGCAATCAGTGCATTCGCCCGGATTGCGAAGGGTGCGGGTTCGAGTCCCGTCCGCTGCCTGGTCCGCGTGGTTTTTTTTCTAGTAAATTTTTCTTTAGATTTTAACATCTAGCAGTTAAATGCTTAAAAATAAATAAAAACATAAGATTATGTGAGTTAAATAGTTATGTTTCTTGTTTTTTCAATAAAATTCTCATAATTTTCCATTTGACAAGTTCACAAGTTTGTTTTGAAGATACCACTCTAATTACGGCCAGTTACGTTCACACTTGAGTCATTTAACAACAGCAATAAACATTGAGACGAAAAAAAATTACATAACAATGCTACTTATAAACTAATTTCATGTAGTTGTATTTTTATTTTGTAAGCATTTAACTGCTGGATGTTTAAATCTCGACTCTTTAAGCGCTCGATGGCGCAAGTAGTTAGCGCGTTCGGCTGCAAACATTGAAGTTAAGCAACTTTCGCAGTGGTCGGTCATTGGATGGGTGAGCGAAAATTTACTATCTCAAACTCCTCCGTGCTTCGGAAGGCACGTTAAGCCGTTGGTCCCGGCTGCATATGCAGTCGTTAACACTCACCAATCCGCACTGGGCCCGCGTGGTGGGTCATGGCCCAATCTCCCTATTCCATCCATAGGGAAGGCCTGTGCCGCAGCAGTGGGGACATTAATAGGCTGATGATAATGATGATGTTTAAATCAGAAAAAGAAATATTTTTTCAAGTAAGAAAAAGGCTTACTTTGCAGGCCTGCAAAAATGCTTCTTCAAAAAAAAGTCTATGTAAGTAATACCATCTCAGAAAAAAGCGGTACATATACTTATTCTGAGATAAAACATAAATAAGCAACTTTTTGAACAATAATATAAAAACCGACTTTATAAAAACAAAACCACTAAAAAGTTAGAAAAACATATACAAAGGAATTGAGAAACTCCTTTTTGAAATCGCTAAATAAGTTATGACGTACAGTCTCGTGGTTTTGATATAAAAACAGCTAAATAGGCGAGGCGGTCAAACGTTCTCGACTGATTCCTCCTTGATTT